AAACAGGTTCAGCTAGCCATCAGTGTTGAATAAGACTAGCATAGAATTAAGCTTAACGCATTGCTACAAAGTGCTGGCCTTGTTGTGGCCACTCTTGATGAATGTTCAGAAATCTGGCTTTCCAGAAATAATATTATGAATAAATGGCAAACAATGCTAGCTGCAATGGCTCGTGTATTCAAGTGTGCTTATTTCCTGATGTGTATATGCAGCTTAATTTGATATATCTCCCCTTACCTCATAACAGGTCAACAGGCCTGCCACAGTGGTCTAGTGGCTAAAGCACTCGGCTGCTGACCTACATGTCACGGGATCGAATCCCGGCCGTAGCGGCTGCATTTCCGATGGAGGCGAAAGTGCTTGAGGGCCGTGTGCGTAGATTTAGGGGCATATTTAAGAATCCCAAGGGGTCGAAATTTCCGGAGCCCTCCACTACAGCGTCTCTCATAATCATATGATGGTTTTGGGACATTATACCCCAATAATTATTATTGTTACTATTATGTCAAACATTGGCATTTGTTGAAGTCATTGCTACTACCATAGCTGGGTTGCTGCTTCGTAGTAATGCCTTTTCTGATGCTAATGCCTTTTCAAACATTTTGCTTTAGGCTATAGGTCAGAGCAGTGGCTTATCCACTTGGGATCAGCTAGCCATCAGTGTTGAATGAGAATAGTATAGAAGTAAGCCTAACACATTATTACGAAGTACCGGCCTTCTTGTGGCCATTCTTGGTGGATGTTTAGAAATATGGCTTTCTAGTAGTGTTCTCTGATGTAGTTTGATAACGCGTCAGCATTAAAAAGACCGCATAGCAAAAGAAAGTGTGTGGGTGTCAGTGACCTTGCCTGTGAGGGAGAAGTACTAAAAATTCGGCAGATCCCACGTACCTGGGAATCGACGTTAAGTGAAGCATGCGGAGGGAAGGTGACTGTGTTTCAATTTTTTATAGAGCGACACATTATGAAGTGACGCTAAATATATGTACAAATCTTGCACGCACTGACATATGTTGAAGAGTTGCAGATGTTTATATAACCAGTTGTTTCCACTTGCACAATGATGTCAACTGTAACGTGCGTATTAACAACACCAGAAGCTGATATGAAGCGCTGATGCTCGCAAAGATGCTGCCCTGGACATTGCTACATAAATCTACTTCAGCGCATGACACTTAACCACAATTGTCGTTAACACGACGTGACGGCTATCTCAAAGGAGTACATATGTAAGGTTTATAAAATTGGGTAGGCAGCACTGCAACCAGTATTGACGTTTCACGAAGATTAGCGTTTATTTGAAAAGTAGTTTCGAGATCTGGCGTAGTTCTGTGGTAGAATGCTTTACTGCCATGCAGAATGCATGAGTTCGATTCCTGCTGGTACCCTGAAATTTATTATTTGGATTTGTCGGGGGCTCAACGCTGCCTATGTCAGGTTTTTCCTAACACTGACATTTATTTTATGCCTTTATTGGGTCGACGCTACCGATGTCAGGTACTGCTTAACGCTCACGCCTTAAAATTGCCCATGTGTGTTCTCATCGTTCCTGGGTAGATACTAAGTGCCAGTCCCTTGTGGCACATACCCGCATACCAGTGGCACATACCCGCCCGTCAGTATGTGCCGCTCAGTTACTGAACGTAGCACAGAGTTACTGAAGGTAGCATATACAGTAACTCTGCACACAAACGCGCGCGCGCGCGCGAATGGTCCATATAGGTTTGTGATCTAAAGCAAGCGTCGCATGGCCTCCAAGATACACGCCGTGCCCTCGCCATCTTGGAGGCCATAAAGAGTCTCACAATGCCTCACAGATGGCAGCACATTATCTAGCGTTCGTCTGCTTGTTCAAGGCCTCTGGAAATGCATGATATATGTTTCCGGCTATATGAACATATCCGTGTTTAGAGCTGTTTGAAAGTTCCTGTGTGTTTTTAGCAGTGATGGCTGCACTATCCCGGCCTTTTTCGACGTAGTTTGATGTCTTCCCAAACGCGCCTACAAGTCGCCGAAGGGGCTCGTTTTCGTCGTGACACCTGTTGAACAAAATGCGTTAAGGAGACTCCTTCCACTACATGGCATTTATGTAGTGTTTTTACCAGAAACAGCTGAAAGTAACACCGTGGCCTTGTAGGGCGCCTGCTTGTCAGGCGAATGGCCCGAGTTCGAATCTCAATGGGACCGAAAAATTCATTCTTTATTTTATTTTCTTCTTTCTCGATTTTTCGCTCACAACTAACGGTGCCGACCCCGACGGCAGAATTTCTGCGACACGAGTTCTCTAACGCTATGGCGTTAAAATTTGAGTCATATCCCGCTAAGGGGAATCATGTGATTAGGCGAAGCAGCGGGCGCTAACGATTACTCTGGGTAGGCGCAAAACACGCAGTGATGGTCCGGTGGAGAGAGAAGAAGCCAGCGTAGGTTAGCAGATGCTCCCTGCGTCGGCGTTGTGAGGCGGGAGAGAGGGGAGCATGGGAAAGGAGAGGGAGTGGACGCGCATGAGCAGTAAGGGTGGTCACGCCACAAACAGCGCGAGTACGAAAGCGTCGGTGAGCACGAAAATAGTTTCGTTCACAAGTTATTTTATTCTCTTACGCCAGCATTTTGTAGAGTTACTCCAGACCAGGTCATGCTGTGGTTTACGGCTATAGCCTATCGAATTTATAGCTGTGCCTTTGCGGCGATACTTTTTTTTTTCATCAGGACGTTAAACGTCTCTCTCTCTCTCTTTTTTCTTGTCTCGAATGACGCTGTATGTTCATTTGCTCTTCTAATTCAAGAGTGAGTGAATATTGGACGTTTTCCACAGGTCTTGCTGTGTGCATACATTTGTATTGAATTACGATATGCGAAGTCGTTTTTTTTTACTTTTGTTACAGCGAGTACATCCAGTATCCCGTTTCGAGTATCTGCTCTGGCGTATGTTTGCCGGGCGGCAATGACTCGCGCGTCGAATGTAAATGTATAGGCATCTGTGTAGCCATACACATCGTTATTGTAATATCAATTATATGGACACCTTCGACCAGTTCTGCTGCCGTCGCCGTCATGTTCCGCAAAAGTCCAATTTGATAACATCCCCCGCGCATCGCATGTTCTAACCGCGAGTAAAGGCGCTCGAACAAGGGCGATGAATGCGGCTGAAGCGGGGATGAAACGAGCCCTCTCATCATTGCCGCATCGCAGTTGACATTATGCGCACGAGCATACAGAGCCACCGAGAAGGCGTCTTGATACAGCGCTCGGCAACGAGCGGCTGCGCACAATTATCAGTATGTGTGCCGTTCGTCATATTGGGGTATGCAACTCACATACTCAAGGGACTTATCTGAAAGTGTGTAGTAGCGCGTTAAACTACATACACCGCCATGCCATTCTCTTTACCGTGTTCTCATGGTCTCATGCATTTACAGATTTAGGTAAACCCGTGTCGCGATCGCCGGCGCAGATCTTATCTCGGCAGGCATCAGCAAACGGCACGTATACCCGTCTGCGTGCTGCGCTCACAACGCGAATAGAGTGCACGAAGACGTACTTTTTTTCCTTAGGGGGACTGTATTTTCTTACGCCAGCGTTTTGAAGAGCTATACGAGATCACATCCAAAAGAGTTAGGCACAATATAGGCCTAGTTCGTATAACATTATGAATTGTTGCTATCGCATTAATTACTCCGCCCTTGCGGGGTAACTGACTTTTTTCTGTTTCCCTTTTTGCTGGATGTGTTGCCGTATTCGTTGGCCCTATTTTTCACTTGTCCACGCTTTTGAGGCACAAATACTTGTGCATTTTACCTCCCATCTCCATTCATATTCTTTCATGGGTGTTTCTGAACTAATATTGTTTCGCGTTCTTTTTTTTTCTTATTTGGAGGGAGTGCAGCTCATACCAGTTTACTTGGTGGGGGGTTTTACAGCTAATCGGCTTATTGACCTGTGATTAGCTTCCAACCTTGACAACACCTTTGATTTTATGCTGGGAAGTGTACTTGCAAAATTGAGCGTGTGTATCACAACTCCTTTCGATCTCCAATAATTAGCTCATATTTATTCTAAGTATGTTTCGTTACAGCTATACAATTCATTCTCATAATGCATAGAAGTACGTCTGAGTGTCCCCTTCATTCGTATGTATGCAACAAGCGACATCATCGACGCCAATGGTACGACATTATGGTGCTTTCATCAGTCACAACGTGCTGCAAAAAACATTTTTTTTTAAACCGCGACTGCCGAACACATTGGGAATAGCAGCTCTGGACGGTCGTTGAAATAGTAGTTCTGCTTGTCTCGTGTGACGTTCATTCTGCGTCGCAGAATGATGTCACCATGCAGCTCTTCGGTGCTTATATGGTTTCCTGGTACATCGGTAGTACTATACTTACGCGTGCTTTGGAGATACTGTCGTGCTATCATATGGCACATGACCTGTGGGTTCGTGATACTGGTATTTGCAGTCTGCAACTATGACAATATCTGAGGTTTCACGTTCCAAAACCACGATATCATCATGAGGCGCGCCGTATCGGAGGGCTCTGGAAATCTCGACCACCTGGTGTCCCTTTAACATTCACTGACATCCAACAGTATATACACGGGTTCTTACCATTTCGCCTCAGCCGTAATTAATGCAACAACCGCGACCGGAATTGAACCCGCGACCTTCGGGTCAGCAGCCGACCACTGCAACCACTGATCCACAGCGTCGGACAGTCTAGAACTGTAGAGCTCACTTCAAAACCACGTGGCATGCCCCGTAACAGTTTCGCACGGTCGTCTGAACCAGGGCCAGCGGTGGCATTGATTTGTTCCATTGTTTCATCTAACAAGAACGCACACATTAAAGGTCTAAACTATGGTGATCAATGTTGCCCGTAGGTGTGGACCACTGGACAAGATGATGCCGGTATCTTTCTTACAAAAGATGGAAAAGTAGGTAGGTGCCGACTTCCTTCATCCTTTAACCGAGAGACCGTGGCGCAGAAATCAGGCATGTGTCGCAGAGCGCATAACAACATTTTATTTGCAATATGGTATCAACAACACATCATAAAGCAGGCCCAGTAATGGCGACTGGGGATCGCATGTAAGGTATAATACAAAGTAGGAGCTGCAAAGATTCACTCCAAGACATGATGCCTCTCAATAACTACGTCAAGCCGAAAGCGTCACAACGTGCTCAAAACAAGACTTCCAGTTGACATAATGAAAGCGCTGACGACCTGGCCATCGAGGACACACCCAATTTTTCCATTTCGCAAAACTTGACGCCATATGTGCATATGGCACTTCGTCGGCCAAACAATACAAACATCTGTAGCGCTTATTTGGTTCAAAGTGTGGTCACTTCTGGGGTAGAAAAAGTGTAGTTAATGAATTTGTGAATCACTTTCGCATGTCGCGCCGCTTTGAGGTTGTAGTTACATGGAATTCACTAAGGCGAGTTCATTTAATTATTCACGCGCATCTTACTGCAGGCAGCTGAAGGAAAGCAACAAAAGGTGAAGTGAAAATGTGGGCTGATCGAAGTGGGTGACATTTCAGCATTGCATACTGTAGGCGCACAATATGCGCCATTTGCTTGCTAGTATGATTGGTACTCTTGATGCTACTCCAGATGCAATTAGCCCTACCTACCTCCGGTTGGCTGCCGACCTCTGGTTTCACCATTCATACCTTAGGAGCAGAGATTACTGGCGAGCTGGCTATAGAACGCTCGGCCTTAGGTGTCCGTGACATTCGGATCAAATCTCTATTCAAGTATCACACAGAGTGCCTGAAAGATGCATTAAACTAACATGGAGTAGTGGCACTGAACAATCATGCCCTGAGCATATCGCGGGCAATATGAAACGAAAGGAAGACAAAAAGAAAGTAAATAATCTTCAGAGAAGTGCAGAAATGCATCACAAACAACAACTATACAACCTCGCACTGCCAACCATTCCACCTACACCATTCCAGTTCGTGGCCATTGGCGTACTCCACCAGACGGGGAAAAAGACGATTCTTAAATTTGCCTGCCGACTAGACAAAGTTCTTAGTCGACTTTTCATCCTTGAGAGGTGGTTTCTAACACCTCGCCATCCAATACCTCATTCAGGATCGCATTTAAATATAAACAAGAAACAGTTCACCTCGTCGATTCACCATCCAGCGTGACGTTCATTTTGCGGCCCTCTGCAGTTTGGTCTGTCGGGTTCCGGTGCTATTCGCGGAGGAGGTACCGTTGGCTGTCGAGTTGTCGGGAGTGTCGATGTAATCGTAGTAATAGACGTAGTCAATGTACTCAACGTCGTTGTTGTTGGTCGGCGGTGTGGCCTGGCCTTTGGTCGTGGAGTTACCGGACCTCTGCTGCTGGTCGCCGTCCTTTTGCAGCGCGTTCACCCGCACCGTGTTTGGGGCGTCACCGAGGGCCTTCTCCGAAGCCTTAGTTGAGGTTGAAGGAGGCGTGGTAGGTGTTGCTGGCTCTGTGACGCTGGAAGTAGCGGGCTCGGGACTCGTGAGCAGAGGGATAGTGTCGTTACGTTCGGACTGGAGTGGCTGCGTTTGAATCGTTGTTTGCACCTGCGGAGTCGTCTCGGTGGTAGCCGAGCTTGTTCTGAATCCTGTTGTCGTCGTTGCGGTCTGCGGATGGCGGGTGCCGGTCGTTGTCGTTCCAGCAGTTTCTGTGGATGTGCCAAGTCTCGTCGTTTCAACATTTCTCGCCGTCGTCGTCGTTGTAGTGTGCTGAGCGATGGTTGTTTGCGGTGTTGTAGACGTCTCTGTACCCCGAGGTACGGGCGTCGTTGCCACTGTTGCAGTGGTTCTAGCAAGATCAGCGTTGGTCGTGCCGACGAAGACGGCCTCGGTCTCTCCTGCGGCTTGGTAAGAGCGAATTGCAGACAGGGTTGTCTCTGGCCGGTTAGAAATTTCCGAAGCACCTGCTGTCCTTGTCGCCGTGACAGCCGTCGTCGTCACCTCTTGTGTTGAGACTGGAGTGGAGAGTGTGGTAGGAACAGTTGTGGTCCTGCCTAGGGTTGTTGGGGCCAAGGTAGACTGTGGTACTGCCGATGTAACTGTCGATGCGGGAAAACCAGTCGTTGTCCTGTCCTCGGGTTTCTCGAACGAAAGATTCTCGATCGCGAGGTTCACTTTAGCTCGCGACTGTGTTGCGACGCTTTTTACCAGCGTGAGTGTATCATCCCCTCCAGTCGATAGGGTGGTTGCGTCTGTGTTGCGCTCAGTCGTCGTATCAGCAACAAGCTTGCTAGCTGTGGCTGTACCAGTCGCTTCGGTGGCCGTAGCTGCTTTAGTGAATAAGACGTCAGCCCGTGCGACTTCTGGTGTCGCAGTCTCCGTTTTAGCGAATGCGGTGGTCGTCACGTCCTGAACGTCTTGCTTCGTCACACGCGGAATTTCTACGGCCATCTTGGTGACTAGTTCTTTCTGGAACTCTTGGTTGTCCGGGTCTGGTGTGGTCAACTCAGGGTTGTTTTTTGGTGCGGGCTGATCTGCCTGAAGGTCCTCGACGAATAGCGACGTCTCGTTCTCGTCCTTCTGCTTGCTCAGTTGTTCCTTGACCAGCGCCATCATAGACTCGGGTATCCTTCTCCGGTCTCCCGGCCTCTCTTGAGTCAGTTGTGTCAGGTTGCGCTTTTGACCGGGAACGTAGTAGTCGATGTAGTCGTAGTAGTCGAACACGTTGTCTACTAAGGACCTGAGAATTGTCGGCAAGTTGCCGCTCTTCTTTCCGGCATCACCTCGCTCCTCTTTTGTTGTGGTCTGTTCGGTCGTTTCCTTTATCACTGGTGGAGCAGGCGTAGTGTCAGGTGGCAGTTCCGTCGAAGGCGATGATGTGGTCCCAAAGATGGACTCCGGAACAGTAAGACCGAGTGACCTGGTTGTCGTTTCAACGTAGATCTCTGTCGATGGTTCATTCTTGGGCGTCTCGGTCGTGACAGTCACGGCAGGCCTGTTTGTGCGGTCAGATGTGAATGCAGCAGTCCTGGTCAGCTCGGTGACCTCCTCTTGCTTCTTTGCTGTAGTGGTAGTCTTGGGAGTCTCCGGAGCTCTCGTGGATGACTCTGCTTCCGATGATGGAACGACGGGAGCGTCGTTCAGAAAAAGTTCGTCGTCATCTTCTACGCCGACAGATGGCACCGTCACGCTTTTTCGCGGCTCTTGTTGCAAGGAGGCACTCCGCAAGCCAGTACCACGTATGATCTCAACTGGGGACTCAGTCGGTGTCGTCTGCACAGGCGACGTCGTTGTGACAGCGCCGTCGGTGGTTCCGAATGGCGTGGTGTCCTGCGTCGTGACACCAGGACCCTGCGTAGTCAGCATCGCCGCTTCCACCATTTCAGCCACGTTCGAAGGTCCACGGAATGTAGCATCACCCGTGGTTCCGTTTCCGGCAGCGCTTGCGTTGGCAGCGGCTTCAAGCGCCTTGATGCGGTTGAGGATGATGGCGTCCAGCAGAGTAGTGTTCTGGACCTCTAGGAACCTGAAACAACACAGGAAAGAAAACTAAAGTTTAATCATCTGACAGATTATGAGCAGTCGGGGGTTGGCGTGACTGACTAGTACATCCTATGGTCCAGGTTTTGTCGTTGTATTCGTGTGGCTGAGAAGTATGGCTTGAGCCTGAGCTTTTCATATTTGGTGCAGTATATGAAAATAATGCAAATCACTATATGATGTTATTTCTTATTGTTATTTTTGGACAGCGGTGTTTTGGCTTAACTTTGCAAGCTGATTCCGCCTTGTTGTGATTCACTAATCAGGAAGTATTTCGTGGATTTCTCATGCATATATTCATCCTTGTATTTTGGGTTTTTAGCAGTCAATATACCTAAATTATTTCACACCAGAAACTCACCGCACACGAGAAACTTGGAATAGCTTGCAGTTGATTTTCGCTTAGGTTACCTGACAAAGTAACTAGGAAATATGACAGATTATTTGTACAGCCCAGAATCACTTTTCATAACTGTATTAAATTATAGTTATATGACAAAGACGTCACATGTTCTTTAAATTTTTGCAGCATTTGCTCACTCTGATGCTGCATTAGGCTAATTAACCAACCCTTTAAGCGCGAACAAAAGCTGAGAGCCTACAATGTCAATGTCTACTGTTTAGTGTGCATCTATACATCTCTAGAGAAACACCGCTAGTAACATTTACCTGCTGCTCACGTGTACGATTGGCTCACTGTCTATTTTCTGTCTGAAAAACCGCAGACATAGTTGAATACGTTTGCCAACCACCCGTGGAGCATCCTAACACCCTAATGGGTATTTTAGTTCTTGCAGCAAGGTGGCTCATCAGTGTCTATGGCGTGCTGCAGCTGAGCACGTGTTCAAGAATTCGATTCCCTGCCGCGATCGCACATCTCAGTGGAGACGAAGTGCAAAAACGCCCTTTTACTGGGATGTCAGTCCTCGATACACAACTCCAGATGGTCAATACATTGTGGACACATAAATTTTACGTTGCTCCGTAACTGCCTAGTCAGTTTCAGTGCGTTAAACCTTCCAGTTTCTTATGTTTATTCTTGATTAAACGCCTGTCTATTGCATATTTTTTCACTAAGGACAATCGTTTGAGATGTTTGTAGTCGTGCTAGCAGAGCCTCGCGCGCAGTACTCACACACTTTATTCTTCTCACTGTCATTGCACTGTTGCAGATTAGTATACCGAAAGGGAATGAAGTTGGCTGCCTATGTGAACTTGTGCGCGACTACTTGAGACTCATGTGGTGTTTTATTGTACTGCATTTGCATACGTTACGTGACCTTACTATTTTTTTTTCACTACATACTTTTTATGCTAAGAGAGGATGAGTAGGCGGTTCCTCCATAACGGCTGCACTAACCTCTCCTATTGATCATCGAAACAAAGCACATGAAATAACACTCTCCTATTTGCTACTTTTATATGTTTGTCTCACCCTGCCCGTCACTGACGCGATCTACTAAAGAATTGATAGTCAGTGTTTCGGTTAGTGCTATAAGACTTGGTTGCGACTAGAGGGATTATGAATAAAATGGCTAAAATCATGAAGAGCTGCGGCTGACGCCGCTTTGTCTCTAAGGTAACTTCCAAACTGTCTTTTTAACTTTCGACTTCCATGTGAGCACGCGCTTTCGTCACGGGCATAGAGAGAGAAATTTGCGGGCATGTGCACTGGCCTCTTGAGGACGAAAGGTATCTTGCGCAGCTCCTTGTCGACGCTGACGTGTGGCGTGAAGGGCTTGAGTTGCGTCTGCGTTGGCGGGGGCTGCTTCTTGTGGCGCTGGCAGATCATGCGCGGGCAGCACGCCGGGAACGGTAGACGCTTGTCCTCGATGATGTCGCACAAAAGCGTCGGTCGGTTCTGCAGCCGCGGGCACCTGCGCACAACAGGAAGAAGACCACGTAAGAACGCGCAAATACGGAAGCTAACTCTGCGTCCCTGCAATCATGCACTTATTTTTATTGTACTGAGAGCGCACAATCAGGGTTAAATTGGATATCATTTGTGGAAGTATTTGTCCTGAAGCAGACACAGAACCGGCTGAGGATGACAATAAATCATGTATAATAGATATATGGTCACCTCGGTGAGTCTTAGACGTAGTATATATTTTATAGCCTAACGCTCAAATCTGTTTACAAGGTTCCTCGTATTTCGGGATAGTGTAGACCTCTTGAATCATTTGGATGTTGTACCACGCTTTTTTTCCAAACGTACGGACTGTTGCGCCGATCAGTGATGCATCCCATTACGACCGAGGGAGGCTAATTAACACACAAACTATTGAAGCGTTCAGAATGACACTTCTTGCTGTAGCAACGAAGTGTCACACCGACTGCTATGAATATGAGCATAATTAATGATCCCAAATGAAAGCGATTTATTTAGAATTTTCACGCAACATGAAAGTCATTTTTTAACTGGCGCACTAACGCAAAGGACGGCAACGAGACTACAGGATACTATATCATCATTTCAAGCAGTAGTACCAGAATTTAAACAATGGAAACCTTCAAAACCACCTTGGACGTTGCCACTTCTCAACGTGATCCGTGAAATAGACGGCATAGAGAAGAAAGCAGACATGGTACCTCTAGTAGCGGCACAGTTGGTACTTCATCAGCTTCATGTAATGCATAATGAAAAAACGAAGATATATACAGACGGATCATGCACAGAAGAAGCGTCAGCCTGTGCGGTCTTTATACCCGAAATTCAGAAAAATATGATGTACAAATTATCGCACAAATCTTCATCGACGACAGCAGAATTGGTGGCTATCTTTGAAGCAGTTAAGCTTATCTGCGAGAATCCCGAGCCACGAAAATGGGTGATATGCACTGATAGCAAACCTGCTCTTCAGCTAATCAGAAATGTGAGATCACCTTACAAAAATGGTGAAATAGCACAATGTATCGCAGAAACTGTGGAATATGCCTCATCGCAGGGTCACAACATCGTATTCCAATGGATACCCAGCCACATTGGAATAAAGGGAAATGAAGATGCTGATAGTCTCGCGAAGAAAGCATTGAAGGAAGGACGGGATTGCACAATCCCTATGTCTGGGGCGGATATTCGACATTTTATATCGCAAGGAGCTAACCATTGTTCGATGAAGAAGTGGTTTGAGAGCCCTAAATCAAATGAAACGATACTTTATGAAGTCAATCCACACAGAAAATTTTCCATAGCGACAGACCTCCCACGACACCTAGAGACATTGATCCACCGACTTAGATTGGAAGTAGCATACACAAACAGCTTCCTGCACAAGATACATCGATCCAACTCACCGGAATGTCATTGTGGTCATGCAGAAGAAAATGTTCGCCATATTCTTTTGGAGTGCGTTAAATACGCGAATGAAAGAGAAAAATTAAAGAACAAATTTGCAAGTTTGGACAGACGGCCCCTCACAATAAAGAAACTACTTGGACCATGGCCTGAGATGCATCTCCAGAAAAAGGCAATAATCTTCCTGACAGACTTTTTAGTGGAGACCGGACTGGACAAGCGCCTATGACTAACAGCCAGAGATGGGTATTATGTAAAATGTGGTCATGTATATACTGACATTATAGAGAAGTAAGGTGTGCGTGTTTATGACTGTGTGAACTGCGTGAAGAAAACTGTGTATTGGCATGTTATTTGAACTGGTTTCAGTGTCCTATTATGTGTTTTTTTTCCGTATTGTTAATTTTTGGGTGCCGTTCTGTATTATTATTTTATTTTTCGCTGCAGAGCTTTGTGATATGGAGTAGCCGAGGCAATAGGCACCTCAACCTCTCCACAGCAAAACAGTTAAAACAGAACAGAACAGAACAGAAAGCGACATGTTTTCAACGTTATTCTTGCGGTCATATACGTAATTCAGATAAGTGTCACGGTAAATGCTTGGTCTGTAGAAAAATAAGCCTCAAAGCAAAACTTTGAGATATGATTATTTTTTTCGAAACAACAGCAACACAAGAACTGAGGCATATTGTTTTAGAGACTGTGATCCGTCCTCCTGTACTTGTTGATGCTGCCGTAGCACAACGAAGATCCACGGCGCACCGATGAAAATCGCAAGACCACCGCTGATTCCGTAGTCACATAGTCTTGTGATTATCATACATGTTACTACAACACGGTTCATACCTGTTACACGCACATCTATAAAGCAGGTTTAGCCGCCTCACATTCTTTACGGCAAACTTTTCGGATAAACTGAGTGCATTGACTTTACATTTTCAAGTGCATACATTTCGCTTATAATGAAAATTGTGGTCACTCACCAAGTGAGGGGGGAAAAAAAGAACAGTTCTGGCTTGGTGAATGACCGTAATTTTCTTCAAGCCGAACTACCCGGCTAGTCGAGCTTTTCGTCCAATTCTTGACTGCGCGCATCATATACAACAGCCGGAAATTATAATTGCATATAGGGCTAATGTTAAACAAACTTACACAGGAAAGACCATCTACATGCCAGCATATGCAACAGGCGTGTTTCTGCAGAGGTGGGAGTTATACTTTAGATGGGTATATCGCATCATTTCATACTCCCGTTCATCAACCATTGCCTCAGTGATCACCTTGTGAAATGTAGGGATGTCGGTATTACGTTCGCTATATATAGACGCGCTTGCCTGTGCGGTATGTTTGGCTATGAAACGATATGCTAGCAGCGATAAGCAATAATAGAAAGATACGTTCACTTCTCCCCCATGGACGCAATTGCCGCGTCTTCGACGTAATCCGCATAGCTACAGCACCCAGAAAGGGCGCGTGTGAACCTGCACGGATGGCTTTCGATAACCGTAAAAAGTCGCATATGAATCATCCTTAGCGTGAGCTATTCTTTGTACCCTTGATTGTTCCGATGGCCGGGTTAATTAAACCCAGGAGGAAGTGAAATTTATGAACCAATAAGCTACCCCGCCCGACTTTTCTTCGATGAAGAGGCTCATTGAGCTCTTGCGTGTCTCGGGGCGTCTATTTTCAGTTCCGTCCGAGATGCGGGCACAGTTCCCTCGGCCTCCATTCGAGACACGCCTGCCGAACGTCGGCGCCACGATGCTATGCACTCGCGCCTTGCATATATACGCCTGTAGAAGGGGAGCGTGCACCCACACGCCTCGGTTTCGGGAAGGTGCAAGACCGATGATAGTGTCTTTTGTTCGCCACCAAGCGGCGAGCGGGTTCAGGAAGGTGCTGGTTCGGGGTGTATGGGTGTGGAGATGGAGGATGGGCGATAAAGTGCGCGGAACAGCCACCAGGCGGCTCCATGTATCGCACAGACGCACTCTGCTGTGCAGCATGGTAGAGCCTAGTACGATTACTTGGAAGAAAAAAAGAAAAACAAAAAGGGGGAGGGGTGGGCAGGAGGGGTATTTACAGGAGTGGATTGCGCTCTTACAGGTTGTCACGTTTCTTGGCGCGGTTTAGTAGGGCTTATTTTCGTACGTTTCACTACTTTACGCTGCGCTTGCCCGCTGCATTTAAATAGGGACGGGCGCTTCGCGCGACTAGGCAACGCACGGCTGTTGCAAGGCGACCCGACTGCCTGTTCGTTGAGCGGGAAAAAAAAAAAAAAGGGGGGGGGGGGGGTGTTTGTTATCTGTAGTGGCCGTTTATGCAGTGCGGCAGATGCAGTGGAACCACCGTGCACTTTTCGTGGGCGAAGCCGAATGGTGCGGCCCTGTTCCTTCTCTGGTGTCGCATCGGCCGATGCATCGACGGTTGGAGTTAACAGATATGGTTTCTCTCTGGTCTTAAAAAAAAAAGGGGGAGGGGAGGCAGCTACAGACTGTGTGATAGGCCGTTACTGCTTACTTTCTCTGCTTCTGTTATGGGTACTTACTTTTGTTTTAGTCTGGTCCGAGCAAGTTGTATATAATTAACCTAAAGTATGAACTGTTTTAGTCTTCATCCACGATGGGTGGCGATCTTGAGAACGTCGTGGACTGTTAAGTGGTGGGTTTGCTGGACGTTGCTTATCGCGGCTCCAAAGGCATGCGCTCGTCTCCTTCTTGTCCCTTTGTCGTCGTTCTGTTCTCGCGCTATAGCTATCGTCATGTCATACCAACTAGCCCAAACCGTCACACTTCTAAGTTGCATGCCTAACGTTATCTCTGTCATACAGATAGCGTTCTTTTTTAACACAGCATTAGACGTGACTTGTCGTAACTGAACGCATGTACACAGCTTTTTTTTTTTTTTATGGAATATGTAGGGCGATGAAGCGAGGGCTATCACGAGAAAACGGGCGCATGCCTTGAATGAAGCCGTGCCTCCTATATAGAAAGGTAACCGCACCTGGGTGGGCCAACTGCTCAAGATACTTTGGAGATAATAGGAAAGAAAGCTCCTCTACTTGGGTTTAGTCTGGTTAAATAACCATTACGGTATTTGGTAATCCGTAGCACGAAGTTGGCCATAATTCCCATGACGATTTCAGCCTTTAGCCTTTATAGGTGAAACGCATTTGAACAATAATAACTACTGAAGAGTGATGTTCGAAATTGGCCATGCTGCATGCTGCATCGTTAATAGACCATCCGACGTAATCTCAGACACAGAATGTTGAATTTCTTCTACAGAGCTCCGGAAATAGGTGCCAAAATTTTGCGAGTTCAAAAGCGTCCGGCCACTTCTCGATGCACGACAGAACTCGCGCGGTTTTACGCTATACGATCGCGTGCCAGGACTGGAGAGCGGGACTGGCCAACGCTGCAGCGCTGCTGGAAAGCCCCACCGGCGATCTCACAAAGAGACAGGCCGACTAATTACGACCGGGGCCGGACCGGGCCTCATAGCGTAGCCAAGCCGCACAAACGCCTCGGCGACCACCGCGCGAAGAGGAACCGGGAGTCCGACGAAAGAACGCAGCGC